CGCGCCTGGAAAAAATACAAAAAAAAAAACACCCCAAAACCCAGCCCGGGCCTCTCGTCCCGCCATGCCGAGGGGGTTTGGGTTGTGTGGGGAGCGGGTAAGCGAGGCTGGCGCCCCTGAGCTTCGGAGAACAGAATCTTCTTCTCACTAGTGAGAAGGAAACGACAAGGTGTTACCACCCTACTCCTTTCTGGCATTGGGTGTTAAAGACATTGCTAATTCTTTTTTTCTTTTTTTTTTTTTAAATTTACCGTGTCAGAAGGTATGAAAAAGCCCAATCCACGAAGTTTACTTGCTGCTCCCAGGACACGAGAAGCTCTCGGTTTTTTGGCTAAATACTGTAACACGAGTCCTGCTCTGCACACAGGGCACAGGGGAGCGATGCTGGCTGAGAGCCTCACAGCCAGACTAAAGATTTGATGAAATGCCTCTATTACGATACTTTCTGGCACAGGGAAGTTGGTTACTTGATCCTCTGCTGTACCTGAACCGCATTGTTGCAGCTTTTAATAACTGAATCTCCAGACCTCCTATAAAGGTGCCTTTGAGGAAAGAACGATGGGATGAGAGGCAGCATTCGGAGCCAGAAATGGGCAACAAGCAAACCATTTTCACTCCAGAGCAACTGGATGCTTATCAGGTATAAAACAAACTAAATGGCTGTTTGGACAGAACACTGAATGTCGGTGAGGGCTTTTTTTAAAACAATCTATTTTAAAAATTACTAAGTAGGACTACTAAATTACAGCAAAGCTTTTAGCACTACAGGTTGGTTCTTACATCAGGAAGAAGGGTTATAAAATACTCCTACTAATTATATGCCAAAAAGAAGGAGCACGGCTGCTTGGCCAAATATATTACGATGTAACTCCCTTTAAGTCACTGTACTGGAGAAGGTTGAGCCAATGCATGCTAAAAACTGTCACTACATGTTGCATCTTTTCTTATTTCATAGGACTGCACATTCTTTACAAGGAAAGAAATTCTGAGGTGAGTCTTGTGTGCGCATTTTGTGTGTTTTTCATGCCTTCATGTAAATAATTATCCCAATACTCCAATGCGTATTTTTTCCCAAAGCCTTTATGCACCTCATCAAACACTCTGTTTTATCTCCGGCCGAAGGATCTGATAAAGCCAGGTTCGGTATTCCGTTCACGAGGGGTGGAGAGTCTTCACCGAAAACCTCAACTTGTTCTCCTCCCCTAAAAATACTTACCCAGGTAGTAACGTCCGTAATACTGAAGTGGCGTTTGCCATTTCTAAGCACTGGGCATAGTAACGGAAAGGGAAATGTTCAGTTGCTGCATCTCTCAAGATGTCATCACACGTTTTTTCGCTAATTGCTTTGATGGGCAGAGCACAAGTGACAATTTTGTACTGAGCACGTCTCTACAACCCTGATATCTGTGTATGAATTCTGTACAGGATAAAATAAGAATGGTTCTGTAATAATTGAACTCTAAATCTGTCTCCTTTCCACGTAGTAAACAGAGGCCAGAACCGTAACTGCGTCATGAATAAGACATTTATTATTGATAAGGATCCCTTTTAAAATTCTGTCCTATTGTTTTGTTGATAACAGCTGTGAACGAGATCCTTCCTCTAGTCCCAGAACTGAAGCAAATGGTGTGCTGGGAAAGCAGTGAATACATTCAAATTGTTCTGCAAGCACGAAAACTTTGTATTTTTCACCAGTTACACTACCTTGTTCTTCTTAATACTATCTCTTCCACCAGCAACTACAGAGTATACGAAATGTTATTTAGGGACTGACAACATCCATCTGGTAAAGGATGAAAAAAATGTGAAGGACGATATGGAAAAGGCAAACATATCATTCTCAGCGATCTAAATAACTTGTTCCCTAAACGAGCCTTTCTTTCTACTTCAGACTGTTTTACAGATACCGAGATCTGGCCCCACAGCTCGTTCCACTCGACTACACGGGCAAACCAGACGTGACACTTCCCTACGAACTCATTGGCAGCATGCCAGAGCTGAAGGTACACGGCCAGGAACGCGGCTAGAATCGAGTGACACGTTTCAGTTCGGTCTACCCTTTCTTAATAATTCATCCAGTACTAATTGCTGGGAGGCTGAAAGACGAACAAATTTTGGCTACTGAAGTCAAAAGCCTTTCTGGAAACTTCTAGCGGTTCCCTGAAAACACCCTGAAACTGCACAAAGGTTAAAGAAGGCCGCAGCTGGGTCTGCCTCTGATACCACACTAGCAATGAAGGAAGGGAAGTATTAGCCAAAAAAAGGGGTTATGACAAAAACAATCTCGCTCCAACTCTGTCTTATCTGCACCAAAATAAACGCGAGCGAAGCTGACCTTCCCTTGCTCCACGTTCTCTTTCCCAGGATAATCCGTTCCGCCAGCGGATCGCAGAGGTTTTCTCAGAGGATGGAGACGGCAACATGACTCTGGATGATTTTCTGGACATGTTTTCGGTGCTCAGTGAAATGGCTCCCAGGGACTTGAAAGCTTATTATGCTTTTAAGATTTATGGTGAGTGAGACACGCATAGAAAGTAAACTTTGGGGAAATCCTGCAGCTTCAGGTAGGGATGCAAAATACTCATTTTGTCACCACGGTATTTCTAGTTAGGTGTGTTTTTAACACAGCCTTTCTTTCCTGGCGGTTGAATATCTGTTCTCTCTCTCCGTGAATCTGCGATCTTGTGTTATCCTTTTTGTCTCTTCTTTATTTGCGATTAGGATTTACTACAAAACTCACAACCTGAAATTATATCTGCAGTTGTCAAGAAATACTCCTGAGGGGCTGCTTGGAAAAGTGCAGCACAAGGGATCTGGCTGCCCATAAATCTGGAGGGTGGTTTTGCTGGGGGGGGCTTGGAAGCAGAGAAGCACAGCTGGAGCATTTTTCGCCAAGGATTAAATTTAAAGTTTTATTGTGCTGGGCTTTTTTTGTGTCCCATTTTCAGTTACTATGACCAGCTAAAGCCAAACAATCTATCAAACAAACAAAATTACTTTTGTGCGATTTAAGGCATACGTGACTCGGCAAAGATGTTAAAAATGTGAACCCCCACCAAAACCGACCAGCTCCTTCTCTTCCTTTAACTTTAGAACGATTTCATTCTGGCTAGGCTATGTTTAGCCTTTAAAGTATTTTATATTTGTTACCTTTATGCATGCCAAGGAGAAATTATTCCAGGATTGTTAGATTTTTATGCAAGCAAATACAGAGAACTTAATTTCTGATTTGGAAATTCTATTTGGCCTGCGAACCAAACTCTTCCTATTAGGTCTTGGCAGTCAACCATGTAAAACGCGGAGTTTTGACACGTTGAATTAATTTTGCTTCCTTTGACAGATTTTAACAATGATGATTACATATGCAAATCAGATCTAGAGAAAACTGTTAACAAATTAACCCGAAATGAACTTACCCCAGAAGAAGTCAGCCTTGTATGTGAGAAGGTGATTTACGAAGCTGATGCGGACAACGATGGCAAGCTGTCCTTAGAAGACTTTCAGCATATGATAATTCGGGCTCCAGATTTCCTCAGGTAACATTTGCTTTTCATTTCTAACACTCCAAGTCTTGCTTTTATTTACTGTACCTATTCTTTGCAAAATAAAGTTCCCAACTTATTGTACAGTCCTAGGATTAATTGTAGTGAATCTCTCTGACCAGAGTGATACATAAAGTGATTGTTGCTTCCTTTTTCTAACAGCACATTTCACATCCGAATCTGAACCCAGTGAAACAAACACACAGACAGAAGCACTTCTTGAACCTCCACCAACTGTTACTTCACCTGAGAGTACTGTCCATGAGAGAGCAAAATGAGAGGAGCAAGGAGGACAATTCCTGGTAACTGAACCAGTCAGAGAACTCTGTCTCTTGTTTACCTCTTCAAAAGGAACAAGTCGTCAAGCTCTTTATCACGATTTCCTTGTAACGTAATAAAAAGTCTTATTTCCTCCCCAGGCTAGAGCTAATCTGGCCTAGACAGTGAGATGGGAAATACTTTTAAAAAGTTCAGGTACTGCCAGGTAGTAAAGGAGCTTGAACCCTAGGAAATGCCTGAGCTGGTAAAACCCCCTTGAAAATAGTTTCAAACCCAGTCTGGTTGATCACAAATGTGTGAGCAACAAATGTGTGATCAGCCTTAACAGCCTTAACAAAAGGTGTCAGAGGAGCCCAGCTCAGGTTCTGAGAATCGTTCAGAGAAGAGCTCTCTACTTCAGAAGTTATAATCAAAAAAAAAGTCAACACACTTTGAAGGACAGAAGAGCCCACCCTGCGTTCCCGTCCCTCTTCTCCAGTTTTAGAAATACCCTGTTTCCCATACCAGAATCTATACCCGCGAATGATGAGCAAGACTGAGCAACTGAAGTTTGTAAAACTCTCTTTTCATAAGAAGTTTATTTATGCAGTGCTCAGGGTCCTGTACAAGGGAGTAAAAACATACATACTGTAATAGACATGGGTTTTCTTTTTAATACAAACATGAAAATCAAGCGTTTAAGAAAGCAGTTGTAACGTGGGAAGGGTGGCAGCCAAAAGTGGTCATTCTAAAAACACAATTTACATTATTTATTTTTTTTTTACAAATTTTGGGATGCATTAAGTTCCCTTCAAAACAAAGCCCTAAGTCCCGACTCGCGCTCAGTGTTGAGCGTAAAATTCCTGCAGAAAGAGAGACCAGCCCGCTAAGCCTCTGTCGCGCACAGAAACAAAACCTCCAAGGATCAGCGAGAGAGATGGGTCAAAGGCAGCCTGAAATAATCAGACTGCACGTTGCCACCGACATTCAGCTGAAGGGATCTTTATCTAATCTCCAACTGAAGACAGCCATCATTCTTTCCCAACCCCTGCGAGCATCTCGGACAAACGGAGACCATCCTCTAGGCAGCCGCACGTCTGATCCCTCTCCAGCACAACCACCAGCCACCTCGAGTCCGACAAAACAAGAAATCACGGTGGCTTCTGAGCACAATCATCAGCCAAAGACACCACCACCACCACCAAACCCTTACCGATGGGCAGCGAGATGATTCGCATCTCGCGTGAAAGGAGAGACCAGTGAGTTTTCAGCAGCAGTAAAGAGCCTTACAACAATCCATAGGATTTATAAATCGGAGGCCGAAAGTCTGACGCTGGCATAAGGCTCTAATGTCAAGGAACATTCGACGCGCCTGTCAGCACGGGACCTGCGCGATGTCAGCGTGAAAACGGCAGCAGCTCCACCGTTTATTGACAGACGAGCGACTGACAGGTCTAACCCTGACAGGGTCAATATCTGCAATATTGCAACCGGCCTCAAAAATAAGGACAACCACAGAATTCTATGATACTCTTTAAAGGAAGGGAATTGGAGAACATGCTCAAAAATTGGTTTGTTTCCCACAAGTGTTAATCAGTCACCTGAAGTTTGAGTGGCATTTAAACACTGAGAACGTGTTGTAAGCACCCAGCTTTTCAGATCTACTTAAACCCCTCCGCTTTACGAATTTTGTATCCACTTTCAGATTTATTCCTCCTCAGTTAAAGAAAGCTGAGATATAAATACATCGCTGTACGTACGCACGTACGCAGTGCCTCTTGTGATCGTGTTTTCCTGTAACATTCATCCCTAAAAACCACAGCAATTCACTTATGGGATGGAAACATCGACTCCATATTGTATTCTCCAAGACCTGATGTCCGTATTAAGCGACACGCAGCCAAGCACACACGCAACTGCTGTGTCTTTAACCTTTTCCTCTTACATTTTAGGTTTCATATTGCTTTAATTTCTGGGTAGAGTCTGCATACCCTTGAAGTACAGTGATGCCTGCAGTCACAGTAACTGTATGAAACTTCCTGAGATTAGGCATAGTTGTTTGTCGAGTAAAATCCATTTCGTAAAAGGGTTTCAAGCGATAAATTAGGTACATAGACATGTGCAAATAGGCTGAACCAGAAGGTGTTCACATACAGAGTCAGCTTGGAATGCAAAAGCGTAACTTCAGATTTAGAAAATAAGGAGTGAAAATCACAATTCCATCCTTCAAGTTTTATCTTTTAAGTTAACGTGGTTTGCTTTCTCATGTCAAGGTGAGTTATCGACGTAAGTACTGTGAAACGGGGCCATACCCAGCACCATGGTGGTCAGCCCGTGACACTGAGTTAGAGTAACCACTGGTTTTTCCAGTCACTTTGAACAACGAGCCTGGCTGCAGCCTCTGGCTGTATCAAAGCACAAGGATGGGCGCGAGACAATCCACATTTACTACTAAGCCAGAAACAAATCATTCAACCGATCAGTTTTGTGCAGGAAAACAACATTCATGCCTTCACCACCTCCCCAGTTCTGCCTCAAGAATTTCTCTCAAGAATTTCTCGATAGGGATGCTCTTAAAGAGCAACTTTGTGTGTGCCTCAAGAAATGCTCTTTAAGAGCATCCCTATCGAGATAAGATTATTTGTCCAATCTACAGCTCCGTCTGAGCTACGCTTTGAAGCACGCGCCGACTAGAGCCCGCACGCACTAGAAGGCTCTTCAGCAGCTGAACACGATTTTATCCTACAAGTACACCTGCGTGTAATCCCCTACGGTGCGCGTTCACCAAGTTCCCGCACTAAAAAGCCACAAGTAAACACGCAAACAAACATCATAAGGTTCTGGTTAGAGGAAAGCTTTACGTATCATTTTAATCATGAAGAGAGCTCATTGTAAGCTGCTATTATATGGTTTTAAAAAAAAAAAAAAAGTTGGTAGCACATAAAATGCACTTTTATAGACCAGTAACTTAGACAGTAAAATTTCCTTTCTCCATGTTAGACAAACAGGCAATATTCCTGTGAGCCCAGGCGCACGCTGCGGACTGACAAAGCTGACTTGTGAATCTGACAGACCTTTACCTACAGGAACGCGTAGGGCTGCTACTTTGAGCCAGAACTTAATACCACGAACTTGAAGAAAACAAAACTGGTGCATAAATTCATTAACTTTAAAATCAGCTTTAATTTGACCCTTAAGTGCAGTTGTCAATGTAAACAAAGCACGGTGACAATTCCAGTGAGTCGCAGGCCACAGCCGACGCGTCCGTTTGAACGGAACGCAGCGTTGCTCCCGTCACTCGGCAGCAGACTGAGAAGCAGCCGGCTCGTACTGGCTCCGTTTGTCAGTCTAATTAATTAAGAGTCAGGCTCGGAGCCTCTGAACTGCGAGCAATTAGCTACCGAGGAGCTCTACTTGGCCGTTACATTTTACACATCGGAATGTAATAGACTGTCTTATCGGAATAAATACAGAGGATATTTCCAATGAGGACTAACCATCATTTGCATCGATGCACGCTATCAACAGGTTCGTTGCTGCTTGAAATCTGAGAGGATCAACACCCAGCAGCGAGGCAAATCTCCATTTAAAAACGTTTGTTTTCAGAAAGTGTTCGCATGTGCAACATTTATTTGCATATGTGAGCGAGTGTGCATGAGAACACCCAACTGGAAGCAGTGCAATACATTTTCTTGTCGCAATTTATAACTAGCTACTACCTGGTGACAGATCTGGAGTCATTCTCAAGTGGAGAAGGAAAAGCCGCCCGTTGCAACGTCACAAATTCTGAGTAAGCGTCCCTACCTGAACCACAGCCTGTTTCTCCGAGGACAGACAACAGATCATTTCCACGGGGCTCGCTGTAGCTATCGTCTCCTGTCCAACGCATTTAAATGTCTGGAGTACTTAATTAAGCACGGTCAAGTCTAACACGGATAAAATAATTCCTGATGGTAAGGATCCTTTATATTTACAGCACACTTTGGTTTCTTAAAAAAATAAATTCCTTCGAGGAGAATTTTTTTTTTGTTGCTCTTTTGCAAACCTCAATTGTATTCGTGGATTGTCTAGAATAACGTGACTGAATACGTAGCAGGCAGATAAAAAGGTTTTTCTTTGTAGTAGCAAAGAGGTGGAGATGCAGAAACGTTTCCTTCTACCTTCTGAAAAGGCAGAAGCCTGCACTGCCCACCCAAGCGCACTGACTCGATGTTTTGACGTGACTGTTCTACACGCACCTACAGCCGTGGATACGCACAGGTACCACACCTGTACTTCATTAACCTTGGCATTTCCGTTTCTTATTTTGATCGTTGTAACTTAAGCTTTCTAATTTGGAGACATTACAGAGAGGAACAAGAAGATGGGAGCCTGGCAGCAAAGGTGCCGTATCACGGGTCACGTTCGATCTGTTACTCCCTCTGCTAGACAACACGCCCGCCCAGTGGCAATCTGACAAAAAATAAACTTGTGTCATCTCCAAAAATTGAAGAGTCCGACGATTACTAAAATAAACGATTTCTTATTCAGACGGTCACAAAGTGACAAGGTATGCTGAAAACGCTAAGTCCACAGACGGAGGAAATCTCACTCAGAACAGGCACAGTCCAGTTCGGTTGAGCAGACGCTCAGATTAAGGCCGTGTCCCTCACAGAAGAACACATCGGAAAAAGCTGCTTTTCTTTTGCTGGTCTGGTGTGATTTTGACTCCCTGGTTGCTGCCTTGGGGGCTATTGCCTTCCTGAAGACGCAAAGAATATTCAAGTTACTCATTTACACTCAGCAGCTCGTCTCCACACCTCGCCTGTTCATTTGCTTGAATTGATAAATAAATAAATCATAAAATTACAGGACGTGTTTGGCTCTTGCTGAAACACTTAAGAATCATCAGCAAGTCCCAGAACGCCACAGCTGGATCAGCACATC